TGTCCTTCTCTCCCATTCTGTCTTTGCTCCTCTCTATATTTGGTTCTCCCTCCATCCCTCTCGTACCCCTCTCTCTCCCTCCATCCCTCTCGTACCCCACTCTCTCCCTCCATCCCTCTCGTACCCCACTCTCTCCCCCCCCCCCCTTCCCTCTCGTACCCCACTCTCTCCCTCCTTCCCTCTCGTACCCCACTCTCTCCCTCCTTCTCTCTCGTACCCCATTCCCCCCCTTCCCTCTCGTACCCCATCCCCCCCCCCTTCCCTCTCGTACCCCACTCTCTCCCTCCTTCCCTCTCGTACCCCACTCTCTCCCTCCTTCCCTCTCGTACCCCATTTCCCCCCCTTCCCTCTCGTACCCCACTCTCTCCCTCCTTCCCTCTCGTACCCCACTCTCTCCCTCCTTCCCCCCATCCCTCTCTCTAGTCCTCCGTCTTCCTCCTCACACCCCCTCCTCCCTCTGCTTCGATTACTTTTTCACGCACCCTCTCTTTCTCTCCACTCCCTTTATCTCTCTCTCTCTCTCTCTCTCTCCATTCTCTCTCCTTATGTCATGCTCTCTCTTAAATCATTTGTATTGAAAATGCAAAACTTTAACTCCTCTGTTTATCCCCCACCCCCACCCCAATCTCTCCCCCCCCCCCCCCCCCCCGCCCTACAACGCACAAGATCACCACTTGGCAATTAAATTAACATAACAAATTAAACCTGAATACCTTCACAAATTTCATTACACGGTGTGAACCAGAGACTAATTTTCTAAGCGTTCAATTCTCGCATTGACCTGTTTTCTTTTAGCGTGGTTTCTTTTCAGACATTTAGCTCGGGTTGGGTGTGTGTGTGGGGGGGGGGGTGAAATTTCAGATTTGTAGCCACGTCATCTTTCTTTAAAGAAATTATCAGAATGGTCGTGTTGCCCAGCTTTATTAAAAACTTAATTGTATTAGTATTATTGCCCAGCTTGTTAAAAAACAGAAATGTATTACTGACCAGCTTATAAAAAAACCAGAAATGTATTAATGCCCAGCTTATAAAATAAACCGGTAGTGATCTCCCCTAAACTTTCTCGAATATTCTTATTTAAAACAACAGGGGATGGTAACTGGGGATATAGTTATGATTTTTAATCCATTTTAAATACTTAAACTTTTAAAAATAGAATAGAATCTCATAAAAAAAACATTGCGCACCAAGCAAACGCCGAATAAAAACGCGTATAATAGTGCGCAATATTATTAGTACTTTAAAAATTTACATTAGTTTTTTGAGAAATCGGAAGTAGCGTAAATTACTACTTCCAGTCAACGGAAATTACTCAAAATTTAACAGAAGGTAGAGAATTAGATCTTTTACTTACATGTGAAATTTCATTTATCTATCTGAAATAGTACTCAAGTTATAGGCTTTTGAAAAATTCAAAGTAGGAAAAGTACCACTTCCGGTTATCGGAAATCGCTCAAAAGTTGATACGGATCTACGATTTTGATAAAATACTTATATATGAAATTTCATCAACCTAGCTGTAACGGTACTCAAGTTATCGTGTTTACACACGGACAGACAGACACACAGACACACACACACACACAGACATACGGACAAGATTGCAAAATTATGTTTTTCCGTATCAGTGAGGTGTAAAACGTCGAGATTTGTAAAAATCTCGATTTTTTTTTTGCACGATTACAATACTTTCTCTATACTACGTATATACGAGAAAGTAAAAAACAGAAATGTATTAATGCCCAGCTTATAAAAATCCAGAATTGTATTATCGCCCAAGCTTATTAAAAAACATAACTGTATTATTGTCCAGCTTATTAAAAAACAGAATTGTATTATTGTCTAGCTTATTAAAAAACATAATTGTATTATTGCCCAGCTTATTAAAAACAGAACTGTATTATTGTCCAGCTTATTAAAAAACATAATTGTATTATTGCCCAGCCTTCTCTTCATGGTTGTATTGTAAATGTATGCCTACAGGCTCAAATATTTCTGTTTTCTCATTTCTTCTCTACATTAAAAACAGTGTCAGTGTTTAATGAACGAGTTTAATCAATGATGCATTTTTTAATCTCTGAAAATCAAATCCTGTTTTAACCGAGTTTCCTTAAGAAAATCCGATCCGTTTAAGAAAATCAAGATTGTTATCAAGTTTCATCCCCCCCCCCTTTTCATTCTTGTCTTGACGTGTGCTTTCCCACACATCTACACCCAACACAGATACAACCCACACATTTCTATAACCCACACATCTACAGCCCACGCAAATCGATTTCTCAAGCATTTGCCCACACACTCCAATCTCCCACACATTGTACACTCCAATCTTCCCTTACACTCCAATACCCTCTCCCCCCCACACACACATATTGAACACTCTCAACTGTCCCACACATTGTACACTATCAAATCACCCCACACATTGTACACTCAAATCTCCCCACACGTTGTACACTCAAATCTCCCCACACGTTGTACACTCAAATCTCCCCACACATTATACACTTCCAGCTCCCCACACATTGTACACTCAAATCTCCCCACACGTTGTACACTCAATTCTCCCCACACATTGTACACTCAAATCTCCCACACATTGTACACTCAAATCTCCCACACATTGTACACTCAAATCTCCCCACACATTGTACACTCCAATCTCCCCACACATTGTACACTTCCAGCTCCCACACATTGTACACTCAAATCTCCCCACACATTGTACACTCCAATCTCCCCACACATTGTACACTCAAATCTCCCCACACATTGTACACTCAAATCTCCCCACACATTGTACACTTCCAGCTCCCCACACGTTGTTCACTCCAATCTCCCCAAACATTCTACACTATCAAATCTCCCCTCACCACTTATACTCCAGCCACCCCACACTCCAATCTCCCCAAACATTCTACACTATCAAATCTCCCCTCACCCCTTATACTCCAGCTACCCCACACTTCAATCTCCCCAAACATTCTACACTATCAAATCTCCCCTCACCCCTTATACTCCAGCCACCCCACACTCCAATCTCCCCAAACATTCTACACTATCAAATCTCCCCTCACTCCTTATACTCCAGCCACCCCACACTCCAATCCTTCTAATTTTACCCCTTATCACCTCCTTGCATCACAAAGACTGCCCATCCCCTTCCACATCACATCCATTATGTTGTCTGTTTTTTTAAACACCAGTCAGACATATTTGAACTGCCTTGCGGTCCATTTTTAACGACTAAATTGGCTACACATTCGTGAGGGTACAGTGTAGCCACTCCAGCAGTGGCTACAGTGTAGCTAACTCTACCAACACACAACCTCAGACAAATCCCTACAATTTTAAAACTTTTTTTTTCTCATAATAAATTATCACACTGAAGTTTTAGAGGTTTTGTTGAAGGGGGGGGTGTGAAAAAAGGAGAATTTGTGGCTTATTTTTGCTTCACATCAATGTACGATTTTTGTCATATTTTTAATACGAAAATCGATAGTGCTTCTCGTGAAAGAAAAATGCGAAGTGTCGCTATTTCATCTTATTTTCATGAAAGTTTAATCCGTCTTTTTATTATCTGGGAATTCATTTTTTTACACTAGGAATGAAATATGCTTTACGGGTTTAATTTTTTTTTTTAATGTGGCAATGTTCTGAGTCGTGTTGGACAGGTCCAGCTTGGCGTGGCAAAATAGGAACGAAAAGAGTGAAGAAGGCGAGTACCGGATATTTACGCTCCACATTGGGAAATTTCAAAATATGAATTTGTATACCCGAAACAATCCAATTGAGAACATTTGGAACTATGTGCAGTTATCAAAATCTACTTTAAACTTCTTGATTATTCTTAGATAACACTAATGGTGTTGACAACTCCAGTGCAGTCAGGATAAAGACATTTTAAAAAATCAACTTTCAAATACTTACATTTTTTACATAGAATCTCGTAGAAAAAAAATGTGCGCACCAAATGAACAGCAAATAAAATTTGTATTATAGCCCGGAACGTTAGTACATTATAAAGAAAGACAGAGGAATCAAGTTAAAAATAAATTCATGAGATATTTTTGAGAAATCGGAAATAGGTTAAGTACTGCGTCCGGTCACCGGAAATTATTGAAAAATTGTCCAAAAAAGAGAATTCGATCTCTACACATATGTGAAATTTCTTCTACTAAACTGAAAAAGTACTTTACCGGAAATCGCAGAAAAGTTGATCAGAACTATAAATTTGATAGGATAGTTATGTATGAAATTTCGTCAACCAAGCTGTAAAAGGTACTCAAGTAATCGTGTTAATATTATGTTCATAGACAGGCATACATACACAGACAGAATTGCAAAGTCCAATTTTTCCGACTCGGTGACGCGTAAAACGCCGAGATTTTGATAGAACTGTATGACCTTTATACTCCGTATATGATGAAGTACTGAGGTGTAAAAATATCAAAATTTCATATTTGTGCATGATTACAATACTCCCTCTATATTCTGTTTACGAGAAAATCAAAAATTAGGCCTTGTTGCCATAGAAGGCCGCTAGTTAACTAATCTCTATGTATTTTTTTATTTCAGCTAAAACGCGTGCGACAACAGCTTTACACTGGCAAAAACTGATTTACATGTGAGATCACCTTTATGCATGGAAGAATATATTTAGATCATCGGTTTAAGTTTAAACGTCCATTACACGTTGAATTGGACCTTAAATATGGTCCAGGCGTTGGATAGTTGAATTAAACGTATGTTGAAGAAATTTGAATCCCGTTAAGATAGGTGATTGATACAGCAATAAAACTCATCCGTGTTTTGGTATTAAAATTTTAACTTCTTACAATTATCTTTGTAAAATTAGTTTCAGAAAGTTACAATAACAAATCTAATACTAATACTTCTGTAATTACAGTACATCTCTTTGTACACAATCACTACACACACATAATGAAACATCACATTTAAAAACACACAAGGCGTCATACAATATTCATAGTTTATTGACTAACAGACATAGCATTCATAAAGACAATTTATGTACACCATCAACACACCCACTCCACTCAGATAAGTCCACGCAAACAAAATAAAAAGGATTTCAGGGCTTTAAAATTCATTCTTGCATATGACTTGAGTTTTAGGAGAAAATTTACTGCTAGGTAAAGAAGAAACTTGAATGTATTGTAAGGTGATGACATGTGTACAGCTGGTACATGCATAGAAGACTGTACTAGGTAAACATGTGTACCTGTCACACAACATGACTACACACTAGCCTCCATCTACATACATACAAACTGAGTTATAAAACAAACTTTTGAAGTGTGTATCCAGTATTTATAAATCCAAACTGAATTATCTTACTGAATTTTGTGTTTTTCCCCCCTATTTTGTAAGCTTTTAAATCATATCACTTTTGATGATAAATAACAGAAAAAGAAACAAAACTCTTTGTAAAGAAAACTAAAAAACTTGAACAGAAGTGCACAGATGTGTAAAATCAAATTGTGTATACAAAATGTTAATGTGCATCCACAAGAGATATAATAACCCGTTATTACTGCTATTTCTGTACTTTCCCTTAAACTTCATGGAAAAACAAATGATAATGTTTATAAGCCAATGTATAAAGTCTTTGGACTAGGCATCAGAAGTAGTTGTGTGAATAATCCTTCCCAAGATAAGACCAATAGCTTGATTACACTATCAACAAATACTTGTACAAGTAAACAGCAACAATAGATTCAATAGTGTACAATTGTAGAATAAATATCCAGTTGGAAGTGTAGAAAAAAAAACAACTTTTCAACAATGAACGGGTACCCAGGTCTTGGCATAAAGTCTGAGATGTCTGGGTGGATCTAATGCTGCAGGAGCTACCCCTCTGTTTGACCCTGGTCTATGCCAAGGTCAGGCTCCATCCTCACCTCCCCCTCTTGCTCTATTTCCATTTCATCCTGCCCCTCCACTTCCAAACCCTCCCCATTAGCATGAGGCAGGGCCTGGCTCAGGTCAACCATCTGACCGTCCTGACCTTCCACCTCCACCACAATTTCTCCATTGGTGCCTCGCCGCTTGGTCACCTTGAGCTCTGGCAGACCAGTCATGTGATGAGACCCAAAGTCACCTGACACAACCACCCGCCCCCCCTCCTCCATCTCCAGCAGCTGGCTCTGGTCCAGGTGAATGACCTGGCCACTCTCCATCTGTATGCCCACACCTGAGCCCATCTCCTCATCCATGTGGATGATCTGGCCCAGCCGCCCACCTTCCATCTCCACCACCTGCACCCCCTCCATGCCCACCACCCCCCCAGCTTGTACAGCGTGGAGAGCAGTCAGCTGAGAAGATCCGTCCACCAAACCAGAGGCTGTCAGCTTAGAGACCACAGCCTCCCCTGGGTGGGTCAGTTGGGCCAACTGCTGGGGGTCAAACTTGATGTCCTGCACGCCCTCCATCTGCTCCAGCTCATCATCTAGCATGGTGCTGCCATCATCCTCTTCCCTCTGGATCTGCAGGGTTTGGTCTCCAACCTGTCAAGCAACAGTCATCACATCAACTCAAGCATGACATCAAACTTGATACATAAGTCAGCTACCAGTTAAATAACAACAAATGTTGACCTGGCCAACTCAAGTACCTGTATGTGAGTGATTGTGTCCTGCCCAGCACCATGTGCCTGTAGCAACTGTGCCAGATGTGCCTTAGTGTCTTCTGTCAACTCCATTTCCTGTATAGCCCCGTTCTCATCTTGATTGACAACCTGGACACAACCACATGCTTATATATGGACTTGACAAATATCTCATTTGTTACTAAAACTTATTTCTTTCCCAAGGCCCTAAGCTAAGGGAGATAACCCCAAACAAGTTTAGTTTGAAATATAAAAATGTGTTTATCATTTGCTTAATTATCTAAAAGTATAAGTATTACATAAAGAAATGTTTCAACTCAAAGAAAATTTGATGTGTTTTTCTAGCAGTATTTGTTGCTTAGGGCTAATTTACTAATGCAACTATGTGGTCCGATTCCACCATGGAGTGTCTCAGTAAATTTCTAATATTTAAAAATTCACAATTCTACAATAGATTCTAATCGCTAATTCTAATAGCTTAAATATCTAACTTAATTTAAATATTGAATCTATATAACATTCTGATTCTTTAAATAAAATTGAAAACTACGATACTGCCAAAGCATTTACACAAAAACAAGCTTAAAAACAAGTCTTATCTCGACTGAGAGAAAATATTGCGTATACCTGTACTTTGGAAATGATAGTTATTTGCAAGATAATGTGATAGAAACGCAATAGGTAAGAGGCAGTAATCGGGGGCGTGTCAGGTCTCATTTAGTCACTTAAGTAGCTACAGGGGTATGTCATATTAAGTCACTTAAGTAGCTACAGGGGTATGTTACATTGAGTCGCAGAAGTAGCAAATGGGTTAAAACACATCTAGTTGTAACAAAGAATCCATCAATTGAAGCTCAGTTATTCTTCTAAAAACATTATACTATTATGACAACCAAAAAAAAAACATGTGTCACATAGCCTAAAGAAAATCTATTAGAACCAACGTAACTAAAAGAGTAAATAAAACCAACCTTTAAGATAAAAACAGTCGACTCTCCACCTGGACCTTCAATATGAATGCCCTGTTCTCCATTTGAAACCATTTCACCAGAAACACCCTATCAAATACATTTTATTTGCATTCAGTTGAGCAAAACAGACATTTTTTAGTAAACATAGACTTGAGAGAGAATTGAAAGACAAGTGTGGTGCAAACAAAAAGCTATGAACCTGCTGCAAGATGACTTCTCCACCAGAATAAGTTCTGTTGCCAACAGACATTTTTTAGTAAACATAGACTTGAGAGAGAATTGAAAGACAAATGTGACGCAAACAAAAAGCTATGAACCTGTTGCAAGATGAATTCTCCACCCGAATAAGTTCTGTTGCCAACAGACATTTTGTAGTAAACATAGACTTGAGAGAGAATTGAAAGACAAATGTGACGCAAACAAAAAGCTATGAACCTGTTGCAAGATGAGTTCTCCACCCGAATAAGTTCTGTTGCCAACAGACATTTTGTAGTAAACATAGACTTGAGAGAGAATTGAAAGACAAATGTGACGCAAACAAAAAGCTATGAACCTGTTGCAAGATGACTTCTCCACCCGAATAAGTTCTGTTGCCAACAGACATTTTGTAGTAAACATAGACTTGAGAGAGAACTGAAAGACAACTGTGATGCAAACAAAAAGCTATGAACCTGCTGCAAGATGACTTCTCCACCCGAATAAGTTCTGTTGCCATCTTCATCAGTGGTAACAATGATCTCATGTGACCTGGGCAGACCAACCCTGACAATGCTGGGCTTGATGTCATCATTCTCTATCATCATGCGAGCTTGAGTGGCTGCTGTCACAGGCTTCTGGAGGGAGTCTATGAACTCTGGCTTCTCTTCAAATACATTTCCAACTTCTGGGTGCTAAAGTAGAAAACAAACACGTTGTTGAAGATTCTTATTTCATCATGATAAAATAAACAGCTAAATCCAAACATTTCCCATGACATGCAACACTTCTAATACTTTATTAAATAGTGACAAGCTAGCTCTTCAAACACTCTATATTTTATTGTGGAATTTACTGTGAAAAACTAAACTATAATTTTTTTAAACAGATGTTATCCTAAAACATTTAGATGAAACAATTTATAATGATTTGTTTTCATATTTTTTAAATTTCTTAAGTTCAGTGCTCCATCAACATACCTTACGCTTATAATGTCTGATTATGGTGTGTCTATGTGCACAGCATTCATGGCAGACTCCACAAACATAAACATAGCCACTGTGATAATTACGCATGTGATTTCTCAGTTCATATGTCCTGACAAATTGCTTATCACACAGCTCACAAGAATACTTTTGCTGGAGTGTATGTTCTAGTCTATGTCTATTTAACTGATCAGGGTACTTGAAGGCCTGTAAAAAAAATATAAAAATGGATTAAATGTTATTTTCCTTTACTTTCAGCTACATTGTAAAATAATCAACTTGGAATTATAAATTAGATTATTTATCATAAGTTGATTTTTGCAAAGTCAAAGAATCAGCTAATTTTTTTAAAAATAATCTTTTATTGAAACTGTTTCTTAAGTTTACCTTGTATTTATTTACTCTGACAAGTGTGATTGAAAAATTTACCTTGCCACAAACATCACATTTATATGCCCTCTCCTTAGTATGTGAAATTAAATGAGTTTTCATGTTTCCCTTTTGTCTGAAAGTTTTGCCACACTTAGGACATGGGTACAGCTTGATGGTGTCAGCATGGAATTGTTTGATATGAGCAATCAAGCCAGTCTAAAATACATGGGGAGAAACCAATTTATAACAAATCAAGCCAGTCTAAAATACAAGGGGAGAAACCAATTTATAACAAATCAAGCCAGTCTAAAATACATGGGGAGAAACCAATTTATAACAAATCAAGCCAGTCTAAAATACATGGGGAGAAACCAATGTATAACAAATCAAGCCAGTCTAAAATACATGGGGAGAAACCAATTTATAACAAATCAAGCCAGTCTAAAATACATGGGGAGAAACCAATTTATAACAAATCAAGCCAGTCTAAAATACATGGGGAGAAACCAATGTATAACAAATCAAGCCAGTCTAAAATACATGGGGAGAAACCAATGTATAACAAATCAAGCCAGTCTAAAATACATGGGGAGAAACCAATGTATAACAAATCAAGCCAGTCTAAAATACATGGGGAGAAACCAATGTATAACAAATCAAGCCAGTCTAAAATACATGGGGAGAAACCAATGTATAACAAATCAAGCCAGTCTAAAATACATGGGGAGAAACCAATTTATAACAAATCAAGCCAGTCTAAAATACATGGGGAGAAACCAATTTATAACAAATCAAGCCAGTCTAAAATACATGGGGAGAAACCAATTTATAACAAATCAAGCCAGTCTAAAATACATGGGGAGAAACCAATGTATAACAAATCAAGCCAGTCTAAAATACATGGGGAGAAACCAATTTATAACAAATCAAGCCAGTCTAAAATACATGGGGAGAAACCAATTTATAACAAATCAAGCCAGTCTAAAATACATGGGGAGAAACCAATGTATAACAAATCAAGCCAGTCTAAAATACAAGGGGAGAAACCAATGTATAACAAATCAAGCCAGTCTAAAATACAAGGGGAGAAACCAATGTATAACAAATCAAGCCAGTCTAAAATACATGGGGAGAAACCAATGTATAACAAATCAAGCCAGTCTAAAATACATGGGGAGAAACCAATGTATAACAAATCAAGCCAGTCTAAAATACATGGGGAGAAACCAATGTATAACAAATCAAGCCAGTCTAAAATACATGGGGAGAAACCAATTTATAACAAATCAAGCCAGTCTAAAATACATGGGGAGAAACCAATTTATAACAAATCAAGCCAGTCTAAAATACAAGGGGAGAAACCAATGTATAACAAATCAAGCCAGTCTAAAATACATGGGGAGAAACCAATGTATAACAAATCAAGCCAGTCTAAAATACATGGGGAGAAACCAATTTATAACAAATCAAGCCAGTCTAAAATACATGGGGAGAAACCAATTTATAACAATGTTTTCAGTCTGCTGTCACATGATATCTGCACACCACATTTAAGAATGCTAGTAAAAAAACTGAATGGTACATAATTACAAAGTTTCAACCAAAGAAGTATTCTTACCTTAGAGAAAAGAACTTTGCCACAATGTGTACACTGTAACTGGTACTGCTTCTCATGAACTGTTGCAATATGCAGCTTCAGATAGTTCTCATAATGAAATTTCTTGCGACAAATATGACATTCTGCCTGTTTCTCACCATGTACCTTCAAATGCTTCATCATATTGCTGCGTGAACTAGAAGATAAAGGCAAAGCTGGGTTAATAACTATGTCTATACAAATACATCTTGCCTAGATTTACACACTATTATACAAATGATGTTTTAAATCGCATTTCATATGTTACGTACCTGAAAGATTTCCCACAATCTGGGCATGCCAAATTGTCTTTAATGAAAAGACGATTCTTTTTGCGAACCATTCGAACAGTTGTTCCATTAGGTAACCGACACTGATGGTCATTAAGGTAATCCTTACGAGTAAACAGTTTGCCACAAAATTCACAAGCAAACTCCGGCTGTCCATGCAGAGATAGATGACGAGACAGGTAACGCTCATTTTTAAATGTCTTTTGGCAAATTTCACAGGCTAATAAATTGGTTTGGTCAGCGCCTGTTTCACCTATTGCCTCACATTTATGGTTGTGAAGTGTGCCAATCTGTGGGGGAAAAGCAACCAATAGTCAGGACAACAACACAAGAAAATCATCAAAATAAATGGCTGTATACTGGCCAGTCTATTTCAGGCATACAACAAACGTGTCACTTACCTTGATAAACCTCTTGCCACATTTGTCACATCTGTGAGGATGAGTATGAGTCATGTGATGTTCTTTAAAGGCCAGCCACTCACTGAAAACTTCCCCACAAGTCTCACACGGAGCACTGCCCTCCTGTTGAATCTTTTGCCGAGTAGTACAAACAGGAGTGTGCCAGTTTAGCTCTTCTTTACGAATAAAGATCCGATCACAAAGGTCACACTTAAATGCTCCATGGTGAGACGCTTCATGTCGTACTAGATAAGCAATGCTTGCAAAGGTTTTGTTGCACTCTTTACAAGGAAACTGAACACTGGCTTTTTCATTCAAAACCTTGCCAGCACATTCATGCTCAGCTAGATCTTTGAGGGAGAAATAAGCCACTTTACAGGCTCCACACTGATACTTGCCACAGTTCAGTGTATGGTTCTGTAGGCCCAGCTGAGTACCAAAAGTTTTTTTACAGTTAGGACAAACATGCACACTGTATTCACCAGACAATTCAGGGCAACAGCGGGAAATGTGCCTCTGTAAGGAATCCTTACGAGAATAACATTTTCCACAAACCTGAAATACAGTTAGGTAAAAAAAAATTATTAACTTAAAATATCAAGAAATAAATAATTGTGCAAGTATTTATCTTTAAATATGCCTTACTACATGTACAATTTTTTTTATCACTAACTATATGCACAAATACTGATTTTAAGCTATCATCCTTAACTATATGCACAACAAATACTGATTTTAAACTATCAACTATATGCACAACAAATACTGATTTTAAACTATCATCCTTAAATATATGCACAACAAATACTGATTTTTAAACTATCATCCTTAACTATATGCACAACAAATACTGATTTTAAACTATCAACTATATGCACAACAAATACTGATTTTAAACTATTATCCTCAACTATATGCACAACAAATACTGATTTTAAACTATCATCCTCAACTATATGCACAACAAATACTGATTTTAAAATATCACATTACCTCACACTTGTATATATCTGTATGCATTGCCATATGTCTAAACAAATATTTCCCACTTGTAAAGGACTGTTTACAAATCTGGCACTCATGATTAGCGTCATGGGAAACTTCACCTTCTTCTAACTGTCCACCAGAACAGTCATGCTCATCAAGAAGGTCCTTACAAGAACAACAAAAATTGTATTAAGTGTTGGCAAATTATCATTCTTTATTTAAGGCATAGTACATTAAACCAATATAGGAGTGCATTAAAACTAAGTCATTTCTTAAAAACCTAAATTTTCAGATTCATAGCATTTTTTAATACTGCAAACCTGGAATTTTTTTTATCTTAAAATCTTAACGGGCAATTTTCTAAAGTGAAAAAAATTTGGTTAACAAATCTGAAATAATCTGGACAAGTGTCAACTTGAAATATGTGTTTATAAACAGTGGGGTAAATAAAAATTTGCCTTACCTGCCGTAAAAAGACTCGTCCACATTTCTCACATGTAAATCGAGCTCTGTGCATAGAGGCGTGTCGAATGGCAAAATGGATCTGGTTGAATGATCTCCCACATTCCTTGCAACAAAAGGTATCATTCCCTTCTTCATCAACAGTTTGCTCCACTAGGTTGGCTGTGTCATCACAGGTGTGTTTCAGTAGTGATTCATTTCTTGCAAACCTCTTCCCACAGATGTTACACCTATACCTGTCTGTGTGTGCAGGTAGGTGAAGTTTGAGATACTTGAGCTGTGTAAAATGTTTGTTACATATACCACAGGCAAATTCTTCAGTTCCATTAGGACCTTCAACTATTTTTGTCTTTGACTCCAACTCTTCCAATTCTGGATCATCTCCCCTACGGCGTTTTTTACGCCTCTGCCTCAAGGGCTGGTGTGGACGTTCATTTTCGCTATCATCTTCTGCTGTGTCAACGCCATGCACATAAAGACCAGGTCTGTTGCTTCTCTTTATGTTTGCTTTATATTCATCTGAATCTCCATCATCTTCCATGCTTCTGTCCTCATACAAATCTGCTGCAACCATGGCTATTGGGTCAGGTACTTTATCAGCTGAAATAGCAGCATTGACTAGAGCTGTTAAAGCATCTGTCCCATCCAAATCAGCAATGGTATTCTTTCTTTCATGCTGGGGCACACCTACCACTTCTTCCATTGTTCCTAATTCAATATCACTTTCTTTATTTAAACCATTCTCGTTGCGATTGATTAGCTCAATATTTTCCTTAATGTCAATAGATTCATCAACATTGGCAACTTCTTCCACCTCAGCTACAGTTTCTTCCTTGCTCTCCTCACCATTGACAGTAAGCTCACCAACACTTTCTACCGGCTGAGAATCACTGTTTACAAGGCTCTGCTCTGGTTCTGCTGTTATTTCATATGATGACTTTGTAATGACAAAAAACTTTTTTGGAGATTCAACAGATGGTTTTTCAGTACTTTCTTTCACCTCAACGTTGTCAACTTCTTTAGCTTTATCAGCAACACTCTTTTCAACAGCGACTTTGGCTTTAGGAGTTACAGGAGAATCATTTTTCTTTATGTTTGATGCACTATTGCTCGATGCAGGGGTCCGAGCTTTTGGTTCAGCTATGTTGGTTTGACTTCTTCTTTTTGAAACAGGGGATGTGATTTCATCAAGTGCTGCCTTTCTTAATGTAGCTGCCATTGCTACTCCGAACCTTTTACGAGGTAATTTAACCCCTTCTTCTTCTGAACTGCCTACAGCTTCATCCTCGGAGGAATCTTCTCCTGGGTATTTAAGCCATTTCCCAAGCTTGCCCAATCCTCTAAAAGCTCTGGCACTTCTTCTAGGACGTTCCCCATCTAACACAGGGGTATCTAAAATACTTAGTTCTGGGCTTTTCTTTGGAGAAATAGCTATAGGTGCTTCTTCAGGAGTTTCAACATGAATTTTTCTAGGCCTACCTCGTCTCCTTTTCTCTGTTGGTTTGTTTTCTTCTGGTACCAACTGCACAGGGGTTTTTACTTCAGTCTGCTCGCTCTCTACACTGGCTAAATCTTTCACACAGTCAGATTTTACATTTTTCATTTCATCTGGAATTTCTATTTTATTTTCATTTTGTTCATCCTCTACTTGTTTTTTCATTCCATTTTCTTCTTCATTTTCACTTTCGGTGGCCATAAGTGAAGACCGCCTGGGCCGACCAGGTCTCCTACCTGTTCCACCCCTCAATATTCTTGCACCACCGCTACCTCTTGGACGCCCTCGCCCCCTTCCGCGGCCTCGACCTCTATTTCGAGGCAATGAATAGTTGCGATATTCACCAATTTTTAGTGGTACAGGTCGTCTACCACGCCTTGGAGGTCCTTCACTATAGTTGTAGACAGGAAATAAGTGATCTCTGATATGCTTGGCAAACAGAAACTGGGATGTAAATTTTTCCTCACAGTGTTTGCAAGTGTAATCCCCTTCAACATCATCAGGATGTATTTCAGCAGAATCCCTGCTAGAATCTCCATCTTTAGATCCTTCACCATCTGTTCCTTCTTCCTCGTCCTCATCAGGGTCAGTGAATAAAATCTCACCAAGCATGGCTGAAGGTAAAAATAAAACTATAACAACTAGAAATAAATACAACACAATGACTTCATCATTACAGATACTAAGCTCACACTTACACTTTGTTGTGCCATCTGGAACCAGAGATTTCTTGAGTTTTTTAGCATACTGGGGTGCATACCACACTTTGAGCTCATCTCCTATATTTATATCTCTTGTAGTATTAAAAAATATGTTGATTCCCAATTGATAGGCCATACAGTTTTGCTCTTCTTCATTTCTGGCGACCTGTACTAGAGCCATCCAGTTACAGTGAGCCTCACTACTTGCATCTAGACTGATAAAGCTTCCATCTTTAGATAAGATCTGAAATATAGTGGTGTCATCATTGATACTTTATTCAAAGCAAGTCAGCAAAAACACAAAGCTGTCATTCTTTATAACTAAAAATATATTTAAAAGTCTGTTAGAGAAAGCTGTATTCACTGCTTGATTAAGCCAATGGTCAACACAAATATTTGTGATGTGGTTATAACAATGTTGATATGCTTTCTACAATTTATAACAGTAATAGGAACAATTATTCCAAAAAAAATATTAAAATACAAGAATTATGTATATTTTTACAAAGATTGCTGTCCTCTAGTATAACCAAACAAATACATTTAAGCAGAACAGCAAAATAAAAATGCTACACCAAATAGTACATAAAGTAAATGAATAGCTAAAATCATAGAGAACTTATCTGATTAGAGAATGTATTTTTGTCAAGAGTGACTATTTCATTCCTATGTTCCAAATGTAGAAGCATAGTTTAATTATTTAACTCATTCCCGCCGGATGCGACTAAATGCGTCCTCGGGGGGTTCCGCCTGATGCGTCTAAATGCGTCTGGCCACACCCCCCTACTTTTCTTTTCAACTAGATAATGAAATCGCGCATGCCCGAGATTAGAACCGGTAACCACGTAGTAGCGAGAATCCACGAGATTTCAATTTTAAAAACCGGAAGTTTTTATCTTGTTTGGTTCACTTTCAAAACGTGGTTCACGCTGTGATTTTTGTGTTGAATAAATGTTACATGTACAATTTTTGTTGAGTTTCCTTGTTTTTTATGCTGTTGTTTTATGTTGTTATGTCAGTATTATGTTTATATAAAAGTTTGTCCATTTCTGAGTGCAATCGTCTTTGTAATATTGAATTGATTAATGATTAGAAAGTAAAAAATTTTTTTTTAAAAATACATGTTATAAAAAACGAAGTTGCTTCCCTTAGGTCAGGAATGGGTTTGTAAACTGGAAGTGGGGGCTTAGGAGGGAATGAGTTAATTAGAAAACCCTATTTATTAATAAATTATAATGAATAAACACTCAGTTCATTTTTCCTCGTTTTTAGCTAACTACTCGCTGAAGATAACTGTTTACACTACACTACTGACAACAGTTTTTTTATATCTTTACACCTGATCTATATTTTCATTTTATAATGCGATGTAAGTCAAGGAACGCAAAACAAATGTTTGCATGCAAGCTGTTTTGTAGCTTTAAGCTAAGTGCTAAAACAACTTTTTTTGGAAAATAAATTAATGAAACACAACTTAATATAGAAAAACAAAATTATGCTATAATGACAATGAAATTTCATTCCAATGAAAGGCAAACGTACCTTCAAAACAAACAGGTCATCTCTGTCAATATCATGCATAGTCTTCTTGGCTTCAAATGGACCCAGCTGTGTTTTATTAGCAATGGTTTCCAATGCCAAAATGCCAACACCACCATCAGGAAACTCCACAGGGTTTAGAAAATGGGGGACTGTCAATCTGGCTCTGTTCAAGAGAAATTCACTGTTAGGGGAAGTCTGATTGGCAAGATTTTAAGTTTTAAAACATCATGTTTAATTGATTTTAAATTATTACACATCAAACCTTTTTCAAAAGTTTACTAGTTTACCTGGAAATCTGTGGTATAAACTTGGAATTTCCTAATCCTAACTCTGGACATTCCTCTGTTGGATGTTCTTTTCCACAAACGTCACATTCGACTTCAGCTGCGAAAATTTTAATATACATGTACTTTAGTTAATTAACTTGTATACTGAAGTGATAGTGTGCATTGTTTTACTGGTCATTCTTAAAGTGTGATATGGTGTGTAGAACATTAAGGAATGCTCCTGAAAATAGCTAACACCAATTAGCAAGAAACACTTAGCTTTTAACACACATAAAATGTATATACTTTTCTTCCTGAGTAATAATACACAATTACCATCTTTCTTGATCTTTTCCTGTGCAACTGTGACCTGATAATCTTTTTCCTTCTCCATTTTATATCACGCTTAACAGTTGTTCCAGAATCTACCACTGAAAAAAATGAAAACTAATTTAATTTATTATTGCAACTTAGACAGCATTATTAGGGGTGGTACATAAAGTACATCACACTTCTAGGGAGAGTGGGGGTTTGGACTTTTGAGACAATGTGTGGTTAGGAGAGGAGGGGGATCTGACACACTTTTGCTAATAGTTATTAGAAACTGAATTTCAGCCTTTACATTGTTTTTTTTAATAGCATATTAAAAAGCAGGACACAGTTTGAGTTTTTGGATGGATGACCCCTTAAGAAAATGGCATGGGACAGGATCATTTTTTTTACAATGGATAGATCTAAGAACAAGTATTTGATAAGAGTTACAGCTAAGGTGCATATGATTATTGTATGCTAGGACTACTGTTGGGGTTGGGCACTGTTAGGGTTAGCACTGACATTAAAAAGCCTTGTGGGGAGAATTTTTATACCAGTGTCCGATAATAGAATCTTCTTTAAAAAAGGGGTGTTAGGTTACTGGTAGTAGTTAGCTAATACACACATTGCTGGCTCATGCTAACCCTGTCCCTAACCCTAACCCTAGTCCTACCATACGCCTAACCCTAATTTCTAACCATAAAATTAGACGAGATTGTAACAATAATACTAAAAACCTAACATACCTATTTTATGGAAGAGTGTATTATCAGACATCGATATCTATTCTAAAATTATCCCTAATTTTTTTTTATTTAGAATCCTGGGTCTAGGTAAGCTAGAGATTATAGAATCTAGTCTCTTGTACTAGATCTAGCTAGATCTAGATTTTCTAGATCTAGATATGAATCTAGAGTAGAAGTAGAATAGTTCTAGGTAATCTATCGTTTTGGGTACGTAAAATCGCCCGCGGCTATTTATGTACGAAAACGTTACCTCATTGTCAAGGCTTTAATAAAAGAATATTGTCATACTTTTGTGTCAAATATTATAGATAAATGAATAATAAACCTAAATCAATGGCTAAATATATCGATATATGCCAGAAATTAACTTAAAACAGCAGTGTCTGAGAGCAAGATTTGCTATATAAACAGCAGCCATTTGTAAAATAGAGTGGCTTCCCCCTGAATCTGGCGCTAAAAGCTTATAAAAATAAAACTTAGACAAGATGGCTGCTATAGTAAATGAGCATGGTTGCATCTGTTGGAAACATCACTAGTCTTCATTTATTACGGAAAAGTTTTAATTCAATTGTTTAAAAACAGGTACATAAATGAATCAAGGAAACATTTTTGAATTTTTTAAAACATAAATCCTCCTCAAAATGTGAAATAATTATTAAAATTTAAGGAGTCACCTGTTTTTCACATTACAAATCGCGGGCGATTTTACGTACCCAAAACGATAGATTACCTAGTTCTAGTCTAGATCTAGAATCTAGACTAGTCAAGATTTAGATTAGAATTGATAAGAATTAAAATAAGATGTAGATCTAGATCTATGTTGATTCTAGAAAGAATCTAGAATCTAGATCTAGATCTCAGATCTAGAAATCAAGATCTCTTGGCCTGCCTGGTGTGGCCGTATTTATTTGAGTATTTTCACAGAGCATGTGGAGGTGGTTAGTGTTGGCAAAGCTTTTTGATCAATCTAGAATAATTTACTTGTTATGTAAAGTAAACAGCTAACATATGAAATAAGCTTTGAAAAAGTTAAATTTTCCTTCTTTTCGTTTCAATAAAAATAAAAAATGCAATTTTGGGCCCGGTTAAATTCTTACATTTGCTGAAATTTGATTGAACAACCCAACGGGCAAAAATGGCGGAAACGAAGTCAGATTGCTTGTCAAATAATTTATTCTTACAGCCTCATTAGGATGTTTTTGAGAATAATGCATATTTATATCTTTACTTACAATCATGTTAAAATTTACTGCATCTTTTTGTGTCGTAGATTTACATCACAAGTTTATAATATTGAAAAAAAGATTTAAAATTTCGTTTTTCCGTTGAAACGAAATTCCCAAACCAAGGTCGGCAAAACATGGACGCGTTTTTAGGTTTCTTCTGTACTACGCATGCGCTGATCTCATTGCGTCATTGTCCCACTTTGCGTTTCAAATTGTTTCTTTTTTCTGCAAAATCAGTTCTAGATCAAGATAACTAGATCTAAATCTAAATGTTTGCATTATTTCGGTGACGAATTTTTTAAAATTAGGGAGCCTATAACTATGAAAATATAAATAGACACTTTCATATAAATCTTTCACTATTTGGGGCCCCGGGTCTCGAACGTTTCTAGTTGCGAACGCAAGACCTCGATAAACCGACCAGTGTGAGTGGCGGAACTTTTTGGGGCGTTTTAAAGTGCTCGTATGCCCAAATGGCAACTGCGGTCGTGACCCGTAGCCCAGAACATGTAATGCTTATTTAAAAATAGATTCGGTAATAGTTGCATTTTAAGCGGAAAAGAGTGGAAAACACCAATGTTTTTTTTTTCTACATTGCCTAATGGATAAGAATGCTCTGGTGGAACTACCGTGCCGACAGACCCCGCAATGCGGGAGGAGTAGTCGGTCATAACTACTCATAACCGACCATGAATAAAATTTAAAATGCAAAAGTTCGTGCATCTTTGTCTTTTCTAAAAATAAGATATCACTATAGATGTGGTTCATATATATATATATATATATATATATATATATATATATATATATATATATATATATATATATATATCAAGTAAAGTTTCCCTTTCAAACCTGACGGTCTATGGGGCAAGTGAAGTAGAGTTCACTTGTTTCTATATAATATATATTGTTATTTATTTAATACCCTTTGTTGATTACTATTATAAAAGCTTATATGGTAGCTTTTTTTAGAATTCCATACATTTATTCACAACGAACTACACAAGCAAACATGAATTTTAAAAATGTGTTTGATTTGTGTGTTGACTGATAAATTTAAATGGAAAAGTGAGGTGAAATTGTAAAGGCCTATTGGTTCATTTAATAGAGTCAGAACATACTTCATTTTAATTTGTTATCATAAACACGCAAATTTAGCTTTATTTAGCTATAAATTTCACGCATGCTTGCACCGTTTAACCCAGTTTTCAGACTAGCCTAGTGAATTCGGTATCGATACACCAGGGGAAAAAAAGGAAAACCAGTTGGAGCCAGGTTTACTGTGTTTATTGGCGCTGAGCTGTCTTCAACTAAACTTGGTGTTTGTTGGTAAGATTCGTTTTCTTTAATTCTTTAGTACTTATTAGATCTATACCTTAACAGAAATGATGTCTTGGTTTAAAAGTAGGTTTTTCGTTATTAAATAATAAATATGCAATCGTCTCAGCGCCAGTTGCAATATACTATTTTTTTTTTTTTTTTAAATAAATATTTGATCCAACATAATAGTGCGAGCAATACTGGCAACATTTTTTAATCAGCTGGTTGTGTAGTTTCGTTTTCTTATACAGAACTAGATCTAGACCTGATAGGCATAATCATGGCACGGGCATAGTCATTATTAGTATTAGTCAGTGTTAAGAAACTGTATACTTTATAGTGAATAGAATAGGCCTAGTTACAATACATTGTTAAAATACATTGCACATAGATCTACATAATGATTTTAGATATGACACACATTAGTGACATTAGGGCCTACAAGCTACAACATGCAGGATTATTTAAATTAAAAATAATTAAAATAGATTCATTTGTTGAATGATTCAAAACAAAACAATTCAAATCTTTGACATTCTCATTCACATTCATTCACTCATTGATTGAATTTGTATGATTCAATATACAAATTAATTGTAAATTGAAATTAACTGAATTAGCAAGTATTAGGCCTATATACTAGCGAGGCTCACTAACTTTAAAGCGTCCTTGGTTGCTAACCAGAACATGGCTACCTCACCTGGGCATACGATTGGGCAATTTTTTCTGCTTTGTTCGAGAGACCACCTTAACATTAAGTTTAAAAATAATTATCACGCGAAAAATGGCGTTTTTTTCGCGTATTTTAAGCTATCTGAAGATGACAAAGCTATTTTTGGCAGATTTTTTTTTTTTAAATTTGCTTCCGACCATGGAGGTCAAGCGGAAACATGGGTATAGTTTGAGTTGTTTAAAAACTTTAAATAAAGGACTGTTACGTGTCTAAATGGCACTGTAAGGTAGAGTATTATTAGATTGATCGTTTAGTGAAAAAATATTGTAATTATTTTGAATCCATTTTAAGAAATCGGCAGCCAAAAAAGGTCACTGAAAGCACGTAATTTTTTATTGTGACGTCATCGCTATTGTTACGGAAGCTGTACAGTAGTATCCTCTCGCTGCTTATATATTATATAATTGTATTCTTTTCACTTGACACTCTTTTTCAGCTTATTTTGCTAGCGTAATTAGACTAATTAAGCCTAATTATGGATATTTCACCTGGCTTTTGGATTTTACTAAGACTCTAAAAGCCCTTAGCCTTAAACCACAACGATCTGTTGTTTTTTTTTAAATTTTGTGTTGATCCCTGGAATTTGTAGTGAGCGTTGGTCTTTGTGTGCTTATTTAGGCCTAATTATTTGTTTTCAAATTTGTTATAGCTTAATTAATTTGTCTTAATTCTTATTGATTTCATAAATTTTAATTAGGTTAATTATAATATTATTTTCACTGGTCTTCGTTGATACATTTATTAGGCTTAGTAATGTTTATATTATATAAATATATTTATCAGGGGCGTAGCGAGGGGGCGGGGGTGCGGACCGCACCGGGTGACACCATTTAGGGGGGGGGGGTGACACCAAGGCAAAAAATAGCAAAATATATAGGGAAAAACTTGAGGGGGGATGCAAATCGAAAGTTTGAGGGGGGGGGGTGCTAATCGAAAATTTGTCCCCGGGAAGGGTCGCTACGCCTCTGGGGGGGTGACACCATTAAGTGCCGCACCGGGTAACACCCGACCTCGCTACGCCACTGATATTTATATATTTTATTATATATTATTAAGATTTTAGAGGCCTGATAAATTAAATGATTTTAGCGTTGAGTCTAGGTTTACATTACTAATTAGTACTTAGTAAACCAAGTACGCATGGACTAGGACATGTGTGTGCTGTGCCGGCGGCGTTGTGGCGGGCGATGCCTCTCGCGCTGACAAACCAGCGCGAGCGAGCGAGTCGTGTGTCACACTTGGCCTGTGTCGATGTTTGGAATGCATAGGCATAGGCCTAATTCTCGCTCTCGGGTGATTAATTTTTATGCGCTGACATTTGAAAAATCAAATAGACACACATCTTAATTAAATACATTTAATTTGAACTTTATATTAATCTAGACCTATAATACTAATTAGGGCCTATAACTTGGGATAACAAAGTACTTGGAATAGATTTAGCGCATGCGCACACTGTGCTGTGAGTTTTCTCTCGCTGGTTGACAAAAGAACGCAGGCGGGCTAGCGATGTTTGTAATTTGCATATATCTTCGCTCACAGGCGATCATTTTAATGCGATTGGCCTATTTTTATTTTATAGGCCTAATTAATTGTATTTGATAGGCTAACTTTTCTGGTTGACAAAACTAAGCGAGCGAGATGTCTGTCACGCGCACTGCCCGTGACGCTGTTTAGAATGTATTTCTCGCTAACTTGATGAATTTGAATGCTATGCTATTGCAGTGTTTTTTAAAATAAATCAAATACTTACAAATCTTTACATTTTAAACTGAGCATAGACAAAACTTTGTAAATAACACACCTGTCCCAAGTGAAGTGAGAGAAGAGGGTTAGATTAATTTTACAATGACATCGCTATATTTTATGAATTGCCCTAATTAAGCATTGCTAAAACACTTACACTAGTTAATAAAACATGCATGGGATTGAATATCTTTAAAAAGATTAGATCTATACTATATATTCTTGAACATGTTGTTCATTAATTTGAATTTAGTTTTCCTTTTTAAACACCCTTCCATTTAAAAAAAATTAAATAAAAATATTTAAAAATTCTAGATCTAGATCTAATTCCATTATGTGATTTTTTATTCTGACGAAGACAGTGTCCATACGAATAGAAATGTGGTAATAAAATCAAATGTACTGTGCATATTCTGCTAAAATCAAATCAGCTGCAAGGTCAACCCTGCAGAGTTCGTCTCTTCAGAAAAGTAATGGCGATCTGGTTGTCACGGATTATTTGGCTTGCAATGCTTGGAGTGGCCAATTAATAAAAATCAGTAATTAAGCTCCAAATGAGTTTATTTTCAACAAATTAAGTATTTGATTGATTAGAGATTGATCTCTAGTTTCCATTGGTAATGTTTAAATCGAAAAATAACGAAATTTAAAATTAGTGAGTATCTCTACTATATACTATATACTATATCTAATAGTAAATACATAGCATAGGCCTAAAATTACTTATATTTACAATACATTAGGGCCTATTAAAACTATTATTCATTATATATAATACATACATTTAGCCCGGAGGAGTAGGCACCTATTTTAGTATTTACTATTTAATAAATGTAGGCCTATTTACTTTTTTTCATTAGATTAGCTTAGATCTGTATTAAATAGTATTGAGTAGGCCCTATTAATTAAAAATATTAGGCCTGCTCATAAATCAGATTTTTAGGCAAATAATTTTAAATTTAAATCCTTTTTGCAATACAGACACACTATTAAAATTATTAAATGAACTACTAGAAAAAAAGTTCTAACTACTACTACTACTAGGGTTCTAGAGGTAGTTTGCCAGTCTTAGCCTTAAAACTTAAAAGTAAGTAGACTTTTTAGACTTTTAGAAAATAAAGTAAATTTAAAAATTCGTTTAGTATGACTCACTAAATTAGATTTTTTTTAGCAAGTATCAAGTTAGTAGAGCCTATACTATACCTAAGTATTAAGTAGTACTAATTAAGTATTGTAAATTATTTACAATAGGCCTACTAACTAAACTACGTAAGCCCTCTCAGTTCTACCTCTAAACTCTAATCAGTGTTCCTTTCAGTTTTTCCGTGGGGGGGGGGGGGTAAAAAGTTATATATTTTCTATTTAAATTTCATGTTTTCTCTTCCATCGTAGTGGGAGAGGGGGGCAGTAACCTTTTCCCCTTAGAGCTGCCTAAAAGAAACACTGATTGCTATTACCATATTGTAATACTGTTCCAACTCACTTACTGCCAACAGATTTAATTGACTTTACTGCCAACAGATTTAATTGACTTTACTGCCAACAGATTTAATTGACTTTACTGCCAACAGATTTAATTGACTTTACTGCCAACAGATTTAATTGACTTTACTGCCAACAGATTTAATTTACTTTACTGCCAACAGATTTAATTGACTTTACTGCCAACAGATTTAATTGACTTTACTGCCAACAGATTTAATTGACTTTACTGCCAACAAATTTAATTGACTTTACTGCCAACAAATTTAATTGACTTTACTGCCAACAAATTTAATTGACTTTACTGCCAACAAATTTAATTGACTTTACTGCCAACAAATTTAATTGACTTTACTGCCAACAAATTTAATTGACTTTACTGCCAACAAATTTAATTGACTTTACTGCCAACAAATTTAATTGACTTTACTGCCAACAAATTTAATTGACTTTGCTGCCAACTTCTTTCACTGAATCTACCCTCTGCCCCTTTGTCTAACATTCTAATCTAAAAACTGCAACCTATTCCCTTTAAACTTGGCACAGTTCTAACTTTTTAATGATCAGGGGAAATAATGCATCTAGATTAGAGTTTGTTGATGGCTGTATTACACATAGAAGCCAAGGGAGGTAATGGATAAGCTTTTGATTGTTTTTTTACTCTACTTTCACCTATCACTTTTTGAAAGTTTTAAGCATTTTTTATACAGTGCCAATAATCCTGCAGGGTGCAAATCATTAGGTTTTTCTTGAAAGTAGTTCACACACCTTTAAGAGGTAAAGATTCCTGTATAGACCTAGCAATCCCTGGGGCAAATAAAATAGTTTGTGTTTCTTGACCTTGGTTTGAGGGATGATGAAGGGACAGCATTATACTCAGCAGTCTTTACTTGTGAGTTAGGTATCATCAGAGCTGGGTGGACTGAGACGTTCCTCTGACATGAACCCAGATTCGAACTTGACTTTAGCAGCAGAGCGCTCCAGTGATCTTTAAGTTTATGATGTAGGGGGATCTGATTTTTGTGATGTCGTGTGCATATGTCAGGAA